TTCAATATGCAACAGGAGTAATGGGGCATATGAGAGGTATATAAAGGTTGAAAAGTACACAATGTACATTTTCAAAATGTACTTTAAAGGTACTGTAAAATGGAAAAATGCACAGATATTGTAAGATGGCATGAGGTCAGTCAAGGGCAGCCATTTTGGCTGAACCTAATACCCTCTTACAAGATGTGTAAAGTATACAAGTAAAAACTTTTAAAATGTAGTTTAGAAGTACATTAAACGTGGCTTCAATAACTATAGCAAAGTCAAAATTAAATACTGTTGTATTAAAAAAGTTTCATTTTCATTTTAATGTCCAGTATCTATATAATTTATACTTTCAAGGTTTAATATGCCATCTTGAGTAAAGCAAATTAAATAAACATTTCTCAAATTTCATCTAATTTATCATTGTCCCGTGGTTTAAATATTAAAGTTGCACATACATCTCGTGTGAGAAGCAAAGGAAATTAATGATAGTCTTGAGAGCATGCAGAGTGGTTGGTACAATGTAGCAATCACTATCAGAGACCAGCCGGTGCCCAGGTCACGGAGAGTCTTCCGTCTGAGAAAGAGGATTTGAATTCAGCTCCTTGGGGCAAAGGCGCTCACCAAAGTCTAGACAGAGCTAGGATAATTGAATGAAGGGTCATTATACAGGTGTAAATCTGGGCTGCAGCACACTTCAGTTAATAACAATAAGAACCAAATTTTTGTAGAAGTATTGATCAAGTGAGCAGTCTGACTACCCTGACTAGGAGAGGCCTTTGCAAACTTAAAATGTTTGAGTGTCCACTTAACAGTAAATTAAACAATAAATCACAAAACACACGTCTGAATATTCATACAGAAACAAGAACTCTGCTCTTCAATATGACAGAGTTGAGGTGTTAAGTTATAACAGCTGTCGTTTCATGAAATATTACATATACTCTATACAATATCACAAAAAGATGAAGGGTTACATGGTCCCCGGTAACTGCAGTGCTCTTTACAGTAGTGGTTACTCCAGATCCACACCTGTTCTAGCCTAAAGTCTAACACCTAACCTTGGGGTAAGTCTTTATTCATATCTTTCTTTCTTGCAGATCTTTAAGATTAGAAGGGTAGAGATGTTTAAGGAGGTTTAACTCCATAACTCTCAAACAACACTATTAGTTGTCTTCCTTATTTGTATTATAACCTCGTGTTTCATACTGATTTTCTAAATTTTGGTTACATTGCACTTAAAATATTGTAACGCCCTCGCCTGGTGGTATCCAATACTTTTAAAGGAATATTATGTTTCTTTTTGTTCTATGTTTTATTAAATTTATGATTTATGATTTTATTTAAAATCAAGATGAAGCTTAGATTACAAATAAGTTTCTCCTATATTTTAGGATAAGCACTCTGATCTCCAAACAAGATCTCCCCATAGGCTTGTTGTATGTGGTTCATTGAGCGTTTGAATACTGAAATGTTCTCTGTTGATGTTATTCAGACCAATTCACTTCTATTTAAGTAGCTTAAAGGAAGTCCCTTGGATGGTTACCCAGAATGTTTTACCTCCTTAAGAGGATTCTTTATAAAATGACTGGCCTGGAAGCATAAGATACTCTACTAGCCAAATTTAGAACAGCCTTATCTTATCGGACCTTTAAACCTTATCTCTAACCTAATTTATGTTAGGCAGGAAAAAAGTTCTACTCAACATAGTGTAAATCACAGTGTCAAATAAAAGTGTTTTTTGGTATTATAACAACAAAACAACAGTTTGGGATTAACTATTAAGTGTCTGAGATACT